TTCGTAAAGAATTCGGTACAATATGAGAACATACATCTGGAGTTTTCTAAGCCGTTTAATAAACTCGCAGATCGTGTTTTATCGGGTCTAAAACCACTCGGCTGCGCCTCGTGTTTTATACCCGATAAAACACTCCTGCTCGTTTATTAAACATTACCTGTGGCTATTTAAAGAATAGAGGTTTTGCACCATCACATGCCCATACCACAATACATTTTGGACTGCCTGTGGTTGGATGGCAGAACAATAACATCTCTTTGCTCTTTGGTATAGAATTCTTTCTCATATAAAAAGATTGTATTGTTCCTGGCATCTAACATGGCTTCCGTCACTTAAAGGTGCAAAGCCTCTATTGAGAAAAAGACTTTTAATCTCTTTCTCTCATCATCAGTGCTCTCTTTAAAGAGTTATTAGAGTTAAACTTGGGAACTAACAAGTACCTATTTACTCGGAGTTTTAGTGTTTTTCCATCAGGGTTTCTTAAACCTTCATAAAGACCATAACTACCTCCTGTGGCAAGACCTGGAATAAATAGATGAAAAAATTAGAAGAGAAATATTTAATGATAATGGTTACAGCACCAGGTGCATAAGTATGAATATATTATACATGTTTTAATACTCCTATGCAAAGGCTTTTTTTGCTTTCAAATGAGATTTTACAGTATGTTTTGTTTGATAAAACCAGCCAGATTTGGGTCAAAATGTGTCAGTTTTGCAGACATAACCTGTGCATAAAAGTAAGCGAGTATATGAGAATGTCTTGACTATAATCCTGTATAAGGTGGAAGTAAAAGACGGGCTGAAGACACTTGTGATGACCATATCTTCAGTGTTTGTGCTTATGATTTGTACAGGGCCTACAGTAACTGGAGAAAGCTGTAAGCCATAGAATGGGGACATCTTAACTCTTATTTATAAATTACTAAATGCAAAGTACTCACCTAACATATATGATGTTCCTATACCAGAAAACATCCTTTCTCCCCATCCCCTTCTCTTCTTGCTGTCAGTAGGAAAGACAAACTCTGCACCACCCTGTCGTAAGCAAACAGACACTGGTTCAAATTCGCATAATCTGATTATTATTGCCCCTTTCACACAAGACACTTGGATTGGTTGTACGAAGGGGGTATAGCGCTATCCGACAGATAAGTCTTATCCACTGGATAAATCTATTGGATAACAGCATTGTCTTATCAACTGGATAAGGATTTATYCATTGATAGTGCTATCCACCCTTCATACAACCGGGCCCTGAACATGTTTTAAAGTTACAGCTAATTCATGTTACACATGACCAGTATCTCTCATGTTTGATTGGACTTATGGCAGCTTTGTCTGAAATTCCATGTCTAGGCGCCAACTACACTCAAAACTCCAGCAACTCAAATTGTTTTTAACTCCTTAAGTAAATTCTTTTGCAAAATATTTCACAATAGTGGTTCCGTTTACACAGGACTGAAAATTCATACGCCTAGCCATGCAAATTTGGGAATGATTTAGTGTAAGCAGAGCATATTTTGTATGTAATCAAAGAGACGGTTCTGTGTAAACGGTTACTATGTACAGCTCTTTTTTTGACCTGTTAAAATTTTGTCTGGTAGAGTGTAACTGCAGTATAAGTTGCAATTCCTGGAATTCTAGAATCGATGATTCTATAGGTCCTTACCTGGTTTAGATAGGATGGGTCAATGTTAAGGTAAGGTGACATTGATGAAGGTCCTGCACCCCCTATAAGATAAGTAATATGTTGTTGGAGTATAAATAATATCAAAGCAAAAGAAAAAAAAGTTTAATGACTGTGAAAAAAATTTTCGTACAGACTTGCCATGTGATAGACCCTTGCAAAGCTAATTCACAGGCATTCTACGTAGATACACCTGTCAATGTTAATCCCAAGTGGGCCAGGAAGGGACAAACTGAAGTTGAAATTCTTTTGTTTTGTCATCCAATGCATATTGAGCTGCTTTGTCGTCATATGTAAGGGGTCTATTTGCCATTTTAGAAATGTCAGAGTCAAAACATTTCTTTACTCTGTGCATAATTTCATACCATGTGTGATGCCATAAATTATCATTTCTTAGTTTACTGGTTGCACATGAGAAGACACGTGAATATGACCTGTCTGGATTGAGATCTTTGTATCAAATTCCCATCCATGTGGAATCATATCTAAAGCCTTTGATAAGGTACAGTTAAATGGAAATAATCACACGTACAGACCCTTTATCAAACATTTCAAAAAGAAAATAACTGAGCCGTAGGGTCATGAGGGAAAACTGGAAAAACTGCAAAGCTACACGTACAAAATTAAGCTTATATTATGTCAGGAAACAAGTTATTGCACGATACAGTTTTATATCAAAATAACATGAAATAAGACGAAGAGAATAACAATAGTGACTACATATGAAGTAAACTTAGTAAAGTAACGGTTTGTTATTAAATTATTGCGATAAAAACGAGAGAAAGTCGACCAAAAACGTCGTCCAAAATCTCATATGACGTCAAATCAATCCAAAGACAAGAGCAATTTCATTGATTTTTTTTATTAGTTCTACTCACCCGAAAAATTCATACTTGGTAAATTACTAGCGTAGTTATCTTGGTAGTTATTTTCTTTTTCTCTTAAATCCATTTTGGGGGTAAAAAGTGAGTAAATTGGTTTTCGAATTCAGAATTTTTCGTGGAAAACGCTACCACCTACCCTCGTGGAAAAACGGGCCGGAAAAACGACTTGTGAGTCTGCGCTGCGACATTACGCAATAATAGTGAGGAGGAACTGAGGACAATTAATAGGACACAGGGTTCCCGCAGCCAGTTTTTACCACAAAATTCATGTGAGAAAGATGTGCCTTGACTTACTGTACTTAATGTAGATTCTGTATTTTGGTATGAAATCCAAAGACATTATTCCCAAGCTAAAGAGGGGTATAAATTAAATTTTATTAAATTTTGTCTAACTTCCTTTTTTCCCCAATTGTGTTTATATATGTAATGTTTAATAAACGAACAGGGGTGTTCCATCGAGTATAAAACACGAGGCGTAGTCGAGTGGTTTTAGACCCAATAAAACACTCCTGCTCATTTATTAAAAATTACATATTTATATCATGACATATTTGAGAAGGTTAAAAAAACATGATGTAACATGTAAATTCCATTCCAGCAATCCTCCCCTCTAAAAACTAATACTAGTATATGTTTCCCATATGCTGCCAATATTTCATAGCAGTGTTTCCCAGCTCTGACATAGTTATGCAATATGATAAGGTGTGAATGAATCACTATATGATAATTTCAAAACATCTTTTTTTACAGACATGATGAATGACTATATATTGATACAAACAGGTAGGTTTTATTTGACAATGAATGGAAAAAACTGTTGAAATAAAGAACCAATATTGTCTTCCTGTTGATCATCTTAGCTTAAGTGGCTAGCTGGAGCTGCATGTGTCTTATTATTTCATAATCTGCTTGTCACTTTGGAAGGAAGCAATATCTCAGTGTTTAAAATAAGTAGATTTTTCTAAGAATCCTTCAAAAAGATGTTTTTGAAAATCCTTTAAATTCATTGATACCTGAAACATCCTCTGGGTTAATTAAATTCAGGATACAGCTAACTCATAGATTGAAATTGAATTTAGCTTGTTAGGTTTTGCTAAGAGAATAAAACTGAGAAACCCAGTTATTCACCAATTCCTATTCTTTGTTTTTCAAAATTGGCACAATTCTATTATGTTTCCATCTTCTTAGCTCTGCTGGGTAATGTTGAATGAGTTACTATCCATCAATTCCCATACTTTCTCCTTCAAGATGGGCACAATGTCTGCCGACACAAATAAATGAGTTTCATCCAAATCTTCCAAGATAAATTTTTGTCCCAAGATGTTTTTGTCATCCATGTGAAGTAGAAATTGCTTGACAGCAGGGTCACTGATGTAAAAGAAGGAAAAGATAAGAAACATTACCAAGGTAGCAGTAAAGCACTTGCCTTTCACAACTGTTACTCCTAAGGACACACAAACAGCAAATTGCCATTTTTGCTTGAGTGTCAGAGTTTGTGAAATATTGAAAACCACAGTTAGTGTTGACATCAATCCCTGGGGGTGGGATACTCCCCTATATTCGCTATTTGTACCTGCCGCTAAACAGGGTATGGTTTTTAGCAATTCTACTCTGGAACAGGGTATATAAAATCTCACTCACTCTGGGACAGGGTATATGAAATCACAATCTCTCCTCTCTGGAACAGGGTATCCATTTTTGCAATACCCGAACAGGGTATGATTTTCAGCGATCTTGCTCTGGGACAGGGTATGAATTTCACAGATTTTACTCTGGAACAGGTTCAGGGTTCAGAGGGCTCAGCGGCACATCCCTACCCTAGACGGGCAAGAGTACCCCCTGGGCATCAATCATATGGAAAAGTGACTTCTGGGTCCAAACTGGAAAGCATTTCTACAAAGTTTTTTCTTACTTTTTCTTTGTGACTTTTTTACTTTTTCTTTTTAATTTGTTGTCAAAATTTTTTGCTGACAATCTCAGGTGGTAGAGGTTAGATGATTGACAAAATTTTTCGCTTTAGCAGTTTTTGTGAGCACTTGGACCTGGAATTATGTCATGGAGGTCATAAAACGACCTCTGGGCTGACAAAAGAAAATGATATATCCAGTGCCATTGATTGACGAATGAAACTGATCTCGTAGTATTTTTAAGCTTAAATGTTTCATTTAATTATTCCAGTACTATGACACTAGGCCATAATTTTTCAAGAGCTTGGTTCCAACCAGCAATATTCAATTTTATATTTACGTCATTTTATCTATACCCAACATTATTAGCTTAAACTTCACAGACTTATTAATATCGAGGTGCTTTTTTCGTTTCTGGTGTTCATATTGACATATGACTGCTCATTTTTTGGGAGGAAGGGACACTTCCAGGTTGACATATCTTAGTTAATATTTCAAGACTACACTCACCAGGAGGGTTCAAACCATTTTACTCTTAAATATATCAGCTTGCCAAGACTAGTTAAACAATATTCACCTACCATTCAATCAGAACACCCTTTAGCACGTTAACCATGTCAATTTGATACCATTAACAAGAAATAATTGGTAGAGAAAATAAGATTTTTTACAAAATCTAGTCAGCACCCACCCGCCATCTTGTTTCTTACAAGTAGTATGGCTTCTGGGATACCACAGGAAGCCCAGAAAAAAAACATTCCTGCAAAATCAAAAGGACGACAAGAAAAAAAAAGACAAATCGAAGTCATTGGCAAATCTATACAAAAAGTGATTATRAAAACGTGTTCAAGTTTAATGTTTACAGCGATAAGTAAAGACGTGATGCTTATAGTCTCTCTATTTACGGCAAGCGTGAAATAATTTAAAATTATGAACGTTCATGGTTGGCAAACAAAATCATGAGCACGGAAAAAATCGCAAAAATCTCTAAGTGCATGGGTAATGATAAATTAAAAAATACAAGTCTTGGAGAGAAGACTTGCAAAAGCTAGTGAAATACAGGAAAACGATGAAAACCTGCTCATGTTTGCCGTTACTGTTTTACAAAGGGAAAAATGTGATGTCTTCAAAGTTATCAGCGAAACTCGAAAACCGTGAGAACAAAAACCGCTTAGTGTCGTTTAATCAAGGAAGAGGAAGTGTTTGAGGAGCTTTGTCTAGCCGTATTTCCTTAATTTTCTTGGCAATAATTCCTATGGGAACGAATTAAAGAGCAAGATATATTAACGACAAAGGTATTTTATGGAGGAGAAACAACGGGAAAATAGGCTTGCGTATATCATTCCTACGCGCAATGAAGAGTTTGACAGCCGATCGTACAAATGTCATAAAATTTAACTGACAACTAAAAAGAACCCGAAATATTTAACCACAATAGACCATTTTATCCAGGGTGCGTGCGCATCCAAACATCACTGAGAAAAAATTTGTTAACATTTGGTCAGCTACGATTTCAAGCTCACGCCCCCTCATGTGATGGATCCGCTCGAAATAATGACTATCTAGGCAAAAAACCGAAGTGGATTAAGTTAATTCAACTATTCGCGGACTGTATTATATGGTTTAGATTGCCGGATTCTATTGAAAAAGAAACACATGTACTTTTAGAGTTAAATTTACGCTATTGGATGTATTTTACAAGAGAAAATGCGTGACATAACCGAGGTCAAGCTAGAAAATCGTCTCTCCTTGAAATAAAACAGAACCTGAACAGAAGTGAATTTGAAAACCCCGCACTTTCCTGAACATTTTGGTATATAATTCATAGGAATTTGTTAAAATTTAGAACCGTATTATTGCTGATTTTGTAAGCTCACGCTATCTGTTGGCCGCTATACATTCGCCTCTTATAGTTTCTTAGGACTCGTAGACTCGAAAACACGCTAACTACGGTAGTTAGCGAAAGAACAGAAGATTCTGTCACGCAGTCAAGGTTTACTTGTACTATATAAGTTTAGTTTTAAACACAACCTTTTTGCCTTTGAAAAAAGAGGAAAGAGACCGAAAAGAGTAAACATTCAAAATGTATGGGCAATTTTTTCCAATGTAAGGAACTTGACGGGCCACGATACCAGAGCACTGAATAAGTATTATCATGCATTGCTATGAAAATTTTTTCTGATAAGAATTGATAATTACCCTGGTCCCAGAGGCTCGACGATTTTTCTCCCGGCAACGTATATTTTTAGCCGCGAAGCGGCGAGCGAGTTGCGAAGCAGCGAGACCTCGTCGCAGCTCGCTCTCAAAATATACGTGTCCGGAAGAAAAATCGTCGAGCCTCTGGGACCAGGGTAATTGATAATCGATTATTCTCCAGTTTAAATAAAAAACTCGTCTTCATAACTTGAAAAAAAAAAAAAAAAAAAAAAAAAAAAAAAAAAAAAAAATAACTGTGTAATCATTTGTAATAAGTGATATCAGGCTTTTTATAGCGGAAAATATATGGGAAGTAAGCAAATGAAGGCCTAATCCTCATTTTCGATTCAAATTTTTGCTTTGGGTTAACACTTTGATTCCACTTCATTGGTGGTCATCTCCACTTCCAAACAAGTTAAACTTTCTGAATAACAAGATTTTAGCCTTGTACAACAGCTTTTCTTCAAGGAAATAGTTTTTGGCGCTCACCGCTTGAATACGAAAAGAATTTTCTCTTAATACAAATAAACCGGAGATTAAAATACATTAAATTGCCCGACTTAATGGTTTTCGGACGGTTTCATTTAGGGAGAGAATAGCACTTGTATAATGAAGTTCGTTTTTTCAGTTCGTGGCCTAATTAAAAACAAGAAACTTGACTTGGTGAGTGCGAATGTACATTATTCCATGAGGATAATGAGACAACGCCGGAATTAAAGGAGCTTTTCCCGCTACACAACGGAATCAACAAACTATAGCGCCGAGTCTTCTTTTTGTGTCTTTTGAATTTGCCATGAAAAGGCCTTGAAACTCAATAGGTTTTCTTGTTTCTTTTTCTTCCTAACACTGTTTATGAATCAGTACTACATTGCAAAATAAAATTTTGATTTGCAAGACCAACGATGTGACGAAAAGGGATAAAATTTTATCAGAAACTTGTATCTTTATTTTCACTTGGGGTGACCTTTTATCTCAGATATTTGTGAAGAACCGAAACAGAAAAATAATCATATATAGTTGGAAAGAGCATGTTAAAGTCAGTAAACTGTGAAATTTGAAGGAATTTATAATAGTTCAAAACTTGCGAAGATATGGTTTTTGAAATGTGTGATTTTTTAAAAGAAAGCCATTGATTGGGCGAAAGGAGAATCGCCGAAGACCAAATTTGATTTTTATATCTTCTTTGTGATTTTTGAACTCAGTCACCTTGGCTTCAAGCTTCACACTAGTTTTCATGCTCACTCTTTCCAGCCATAGCAATTATTCTTCTTTCCTGTGTCAATCTGTATCACTATAAATTCACTCGGCAGTTCACTATAAATTTAGTAAGCTCAGAATTCCTTAGCTTTTGGACATATTTGAATGAGAAATATTTACAATAAATGCAGCGTGTTGCATGGCCGACAGCCCGCAATTTTCGCCTCATTTTCGCTTCGTTTTTTTTATTATTTTCTTTTCTTTTTTTTTTTTTTTTTTTTTTTTTTTTTTTTTTTTAATTAAAATGAGCAGGGCTGTTTATTAAAAGTGTTGACCCGATTCCCATCTGGCGAGAAATTTAAATACCCGACGAACTAAAAACAAGAAAAAGGAAGTTTTTAAACTTTCAACAAAGACACTAAAGAAAACAAAGCACCCCATCAAATTAAAATATTTCAAAAGGATATTGACTGCTGTAGGATGCACAGCCCTGATTAGATGTAGTTTGGTTACAATTAAGAACATAAAATAAGAAAAACCAAGCCTTATACTGCCTTAGTACGCAATATATATCATGAAATGCTAGTAAGACTCCCTGTAGCTTGTTGACAATAGGAAACAGTTGTGCTGTTTTGTCTATTATCTTGTTTCTAAACTGTCATTAAAATATTCCAAAGACTGACTTCAAATATTCAAATATTCAAAGTCACTTGAAACTTCAAATTAAAACGATTACATTCGAAAACAATGGAATCCTAAGTGATGTGCAAACACTTTACTTGTATTTTCAGACGTCGTTGTTTACTATTGACAGCTAGTTTTTCGACTTGTCCTCACGCCCCCGAGAGTTGGTTGGTTCATGGGTTGAAAGGTAATATATAAATGACATTCCAAAAATCCCAACTGTGTTTTGAGAGAGATGTCTCGTATAAGCGAAAATCATTTGCCCGTTAAATTATTCCTATGCTAATTATTATCATAACTGTTGAGTTGATTGGTTTACACCGGATTGGCACATTAAACTAGAAAGCCAAACACTGCTTAAAAGACCAAATGAAGACTTTTCTTGACACACAGTGTCGTGTTTGCTGAAGACTTGTAAACGGATCAAGTTCGTGGTATAATCTCATAATGGATCGATGAAGATATGTAGCTTACTTGATATCTAAATACCGCTAGTGAGCTTTCGGAGTCAAGAAGTGAAACCTTCAAATTGATGCCATGACCACTACAAACGCATCAACAAACTCATCCGATCCCTACGAAGCGGCAAGACAAGTTGCCCTAGTCTATCTTATCATGGTGGGGACGTTGGGAATCATTGGGAATTCTCTCGTAATTCTCGTCTTTTTTAAGTATGCCAAACTTCGCACCGCTACAAATGTGTTTATTATAAACTTGGCTCTCTGTGACCTCATTATTTCAGTCTTGGACAGCAGTTTTTCGATAGCTTCAAGTCACAATAACCAATGGATGTTTGGAAAACCTGGCTGCCTTTGCTATGGGTTTCTACATTACTTTTTTATCAGCATCACCGTAAGCACTCTAGCAGCTATTTCAGTTGACCGGTTTTTTTACATCACCAAACCAGTCCAAGCTAAAGCCTGGAGGATTACGAGAACTAGAGCCATTGTTATGCTCATAATTATTTATATTTATGTCTTGCTTTTCACCTTTCCACCCTTGACTGGATGGAGCTCGTTTATCGTAGAAGAACACTTTTTTAGCGGTTGTTATATTCACTATGGCGACCAGCAACCGCCTTCTATTGGATACTCCGTGGTCGCGTCGTTCTTCTTATTCTTGGTCCCGCTCATAGTCATGGTCTTCTGCTATTCGAGGATTTTTTCCGCCGTACGACTAAGCACACAAAAAACTATCTCCAAGACTTTAAAGCCCTCTACTCCAGGATCAGTACGTAAAAGATATCCGTTACTAAAGAGGACACATGTACAGACTGCAAAAATGATAGTCGTGGTGATATTTTTTTGCGTTATTGTTTGGATGCCTTATGTGATTGTCTCACTTATTAAGGCATTTACTGGCAATGCTATGCCGTTAGCTTCTCACGTAACGGTCCTTATTGCTAAGTCGTGCGTTATATACAATATACTTATATATGTCGTACTGAATAGAAAACTAAAAGCTTCGGTTATCAACTTTATTTGTTGTGGAAAAACAACAGACTTTTTCAGCACAAGTATTAGTAAACCCTCCGTCTCTAAAGTCATGACTTCGGAAGCAAGGAATCGTCTGAGTGCCATAGCAGCTGTCGCAGAGGCTAATGAATCGGGCGGGTTGAGTTCCGACAAGCCTTCTCCGGTTCTCGGAAAAGAGAAAGCTTTTAAAGAGCCTAGAGTGGAGCTAGTAGGATACCTTCCGCCTCTTGGGTATCACAAGAAAGAACAACGAAAGACAGTTGATTTTTGTAATGAAAATACCGATTTATCGTGTGATGATATTAAGACAAAAGAGGTAAAGGTTACTGGACGAAATGGAGAGAATGTGCCCGTTAACTTTCGACCAAGAGGTCACGAACAAACCGAAATCAAAAGCCTTTCGTTTACCACGCTGGAAGAGAAAAATAAAATCATTAATCGGCAGGATGGAGCGAATAAAACAGAAAAAAGACCTCGTGCAGGACCAAATGAACTCACTAAATGTGAAGCGAGGAGGAGAGCGATGAGAAAAGTGAACGGGGTACATGGGAAAGAAAGAAAAATGTTGCCTAAAATACCTAACAAAAACGAAAAAAGAGAGTTCCAAAACTTTCAAAATAACAACAATACGAATGTTAATCGTAGTCCTTCAAAAACTTTAATTGTACATAGTCGAGAAAACTCCTCTTCAACTGCAATTCCAAGCTCGGCGAACAGCACACTAAGTGATAGATCTTTGACAAGTGCAAAAGACGAAAGCTCGACTGAGAATTTCCCCATTCGACATGAACCAGTTCAAAAACACAAACCAAGCTATCGAAAATCTAAGACAATTGGTTATAGAGGAGGTAAAAACGCTTTCCTTAAAGAAAGGCTGAAAAAGGCAAGCAAAGATCCACTGCAAGTGTCACCGAGCGAACTAAATGAAATTCAAAACTACTGGAAGCGTATGAGCCTTTGTCTGGATGACATAAATATTGATGGCGAAGTTGCGTAGGGAATGAAACTGGATATCGCATCATAACATAATTAAAAAACACAATTCAGAAATTCAAATCCTGAACAATTAATGTTCGTATTGCTTCATGTTTTAATTCAGATCTACTCTACGAAGCCAGCGCCAGTCCAAGAAACAAAAACAGTTACCCATTATCATGAGTTTCAGTGTGGGTGTTGACGATCGTTCAAAAGAGTAGTTTTATATATACGTTACCCAAACTACAGAAATATGCGATTTTTTTAAATTAAATAAAGTAAAAGGAATGAATTCATTAAGAGTTCTTTAATTTAAAGTCAGGAAAGGAGATATCCGGGAAAAATAACGATAAAAGGAACGGATCCGGAGGGACTGCGAGGCTTCCGGACTGGTTTTAGTCGGGCAGATCCGTGTATCGTATTTCACTGGTTATTTGTGGGATTTAGTTTAGTTTAGGGATAATCGTATAGCTACATATTAACGGCCATATGCTAACTTCCCAATCAGATATTTATAAAACTAATAAAGATCTTCTTCTATAGCTAGCCCCATAGGTCTTGGCGCGTTCAATCAGGTTTATTAATTAGCCACATGCAAAACTATTAAAAACGACCCACGTGAAGTAATAGCTAGTTGTTTATGTTGTTATTTTATTCACTTATTTGCCTGGCTAGCGAAAAACCTGCTTTATGATTAAGACTTGAGGCCAGGCCAGGAAACATGTCGTCGCCTGTCATGAACCACTGGAACTACAATGGTAAAGTAATTTGAAGTGATGTAAACAAGGCAAGGGTCACTTTTAGACTAGACGAGAATGACAAAAGAAATAGAAAGAGGGAGAGAATATCTAAAGAGAAAGAAAGATATAGATAGAGAAAAAACTGAGGAATCGGAAGGAAGAAAGAAAGAAGGAAAGACAGACAGACAGAAAGAAAGAAAGAAAGAAAGAAAGAAAGAAAGAAAGAAAAAGAAAGAAAGGAAAAATAAAAGAAAGCAATCAAGGAAGAAAGAATATATATAGACAATATAAATAGGAGCTCGTAACATTTTTTCGAATTTAATTTAATTTTAATTTATTTCTAATTTCTTAGCGTTTTCTCAAAAATGTCATGCACTTCACATTATGGTCAGGACTCGGATGGAAACTCAAAAATGATATTTATGTTTTACGCCGCTTTTACGCTTTACTATGAACTCCAAAATAATAACCACAGTGTTGATTCCTGTAGTTCGCATTGCAAATATTGAACAGAAATATAACTTTATCAGTATGACCTTTTATCGGAAGCATAGCCAAACACTAATACTTATATTGGCCTCTAAAAGTTGAGCCAGCTCTCAGATGTGTTTTCCCCCCAAAGATTTGACTAAAAAAATTATACAGTATAAGGTTCAATAAAAATCCGCTGGAATTTTGTTATAAAAAGTTAACCTCTTTAGATCAGCAACAGCTCAGCAGGACAACCAACACCACAACTGCAACCATAACATCAACATCAAACCACTACAACTGTAATAACGACAACAGCAACGGCAAAAGCAACAACAACAATGTTTCTTCTTCGGCGGTTCGACATTTTTTTGACAAATCATCGGATAATTAAAAATTAAAACTAAAAATTTAGCAAAGTTGAATTGACCTTCCAATCGTCTTCCTCTTGCCCGAGGCAGTTTTCAATATATATTTGGGCACTTTTATTGACTATAGATTGCACTTACAAAAAAGAAATAATGCCATTTAGTTATAATCTGTCCAAACTGATCGGAAAAGGAAGGACAATATCAATTTTTAAAGTATATGTCACAAATTAAACGTAAGAGGTTTTTCAAGACACTTGCATGGCTTCAAATGTATTTGATATTGCACGCTATGTTTATCCATTTTTGACGATAGTCAAAATAGTGAAAAGACCACGATTAAATTTTTTAGATATTGAGAAGAATTAATTTGGGAATCAAGAGCAGCATTGCGGCATATGTATCACCACTCACCCTCTGGGCCGGGGTCTCGGGCGGGTCGTCGATTCCTGGTTGACATCTAATGTCAGTAGATCGTTATGTCACCGAGGGTATGTTTTTCTCCGGAGGAAGCCGTGCCCTGATTTAGATCAGCTCAGAGCTGACTTCAGATTTCAGGATATCGATGAATTTTTTTTTCGTTTTCCAAGTCAAAAAATATTTAAAACCCACTTTGTGGGCTTCCTGTGTTATTGAAAATGTGCGCATGCGTATCATCTTTTTCGGAATGAACGTGAGTACGATGACACGAGTGAAAAACGTCTGCGCATGCTCTGAATCCGTATGCAAATTAGTCAAAACATAAGTAAATTTTGACTTTCAAACATACCTGATAAATTGGACTTCACAAATTAATATAGTATCTTGGTCTGACAAAAGTATACTCTTGAACTTTTTTGTATACTTCTCACTCAAACTCTTGAATCCGTATGCAAATTAGTCAAAACATAAGTAAATTTGACTTTCAAACATGCCTGATAAATTGGACTTCACGAATTAATATAGTATTTTGGTCTGACAAAAGTATACTCTTAAACTTTTTTGTATACTTGGAGAAAACAAACATTTATTTTCTCACTCAAACTCTTCAAAATTCTTAGGAAACGTGCTAAAGTGCACGCATGCGTAAACGTTTTTCTCTAGTTTCGAGTACGATCAAATTTATTTTACCTTCAAAAATTCCAAACTTTAGCTTGAACATTCCTTTAACTGAGTAAGTATTGAAAGTGAAAATCAGTAAATCCAATTTCTTCAATTTCTCAAAATCCGCATCCCACATGTTAAATGACTCGACTGTCAATGACCCGTCACTTCGTGCACATATGAGACAAAAGGGCCTTTGCATTCATCGCACATGTGTTCCCTGTGGACCCATGCGGAATCGCCATCAAGAGATTTCGGAGGCATAATATTTGGATATAGAGGCAGCTAGCGTCATATATCGCTGGCGCCCATTTCTTAATAAGAAATACAAAACATTTGGACACAAATAAATGATAAGATTCTCCTAGACAAATACTTCGATGACAGTAAGAATATCTGGGTTCAGCGAAGCTTTGCTTTCCAGATATAACATACTATTTAAAAAATATATAACAATTTCTTGGATATATACCAGGATGGCAATAAGACAAAAAAGAGGCTTTTAGTCGCTCAATAAAACTATCATAGACATTTTAAAGGGTAAAGGACTAAGATTTTTAAAAGCGATTTTCTTTGTCGAGCAAAATTCTCGAACACACAAGTAACCTTTTATTTATGAAAAATTGCCAAAACGTATTTTAAAAATAAGGAATAAAAATGAAGTTAAAAATAAGGAATAAAAATGAAGATAAAAATAAGAAATAAAAATGAACGAAAAAAGCGTTAAAAAAGAATATAAAAATTATACCAGGAGTGGGGTTCGAACCCACGCGTACATTCGTACATTGGAACTTAAGTCCAACGCCTTAACCACTCGGCCATCCTGGTTTACGGTACTASTTGTTTTGCCAAAAAGCTTACATATTTCTCAGGCATATGTTCAGAAGGGCAGCATATTCAAATTTTTCTTACCGATTCATACTTTTCTGTAAATAATTTCTAAACTACGTTATTGTCATCAAGAAAATCGTATAACCGAAGTGACCTCAGCTTAATTTATTCATGTCTCAAGGCTACTGTCGGATGTCGTATTTATTTTGCTTTTCACGGGTTATAACCGTGAAGTCGGCCTTTGATGTGGATGTTTAAATAAAAGATAAGATCGAGAGACAACGTTTTCGCGTAGATTCTAGTACGTGCTCGATTGATTTTATGACAAACCGAAAACATTTTTTTTTTTTTGCTAAAGGGACTACATTCCTCATCATGTTATAGCACGTGTGTTGTAAAAGATAAACGTTGGACTAAGGGATTCGGATCGCGCGGATCGAAAAGTAATATGGAATTTTATATGATCCTTGCATTTGAACGTCGGTAGGGTCGTCGGTACTCGTTAGCTTAGCGCCGTGGCAAAGCATTAAGTCTAAATAACTATTATCAAATACTCAAGTTGATAACAATTATGAGACCAACCACAAAACAACCGTTGACAGTCCACGTAATGTTCCAATTCATAAATAAATCAAAATTTTCAATTTTTTCTTTCAGACGATAATTTTTTCAACAACTACAGCATATTTATCTCAGCGTTTTAGCAATTCTTGTTCCTCAAGCATCTTAGTGAAGATAATATAGACCGAAACTCTGTATATAACGTTCAATATAAATGACAGACTCTATACACCGAATCAAAATCACCGACTGGTACCGACTGACTCACTAGCCTCGTGTTCACGTGAAAAAATAAAAGTGTTTTCACATGTATGAGAGGCTAGTGAGTCTTTCGGTTGTCAGTACAGAATAATAGGTATTCAAATTGGTCGCCATATTTTGGTGCATAGGTGTTCCAATATTTAATCCTCTACCTACTATTTAGATACGTGCGAATGGCTCGTCGGCCTTTCGGAAAATCCCCGCCCCAAAAGATTGATTCAAGTACAATTGTTTGTCTTTCAAAACCCATATCACTTTGCCACATCTATATTCATGAGACAACAAACGTTTAAAACCCGGTAAATAGCTGAAAAGGATTTGGAAAGGCACTAAACTGATCACCTTTCTTTCAAGCTGTATACGACAGGACACTAGTAAGACAGAGAGCAACGGGATTTTGATCTTTTTCAATACAATTTCTGTGCTTTACAATTTGCCCGATAAACCAACTTTTCAGGTAAGGCATATTTATACAAACTACGGGGCTCAAGGTTGCTTGCCGCCTTTTAACTGAGTTGATAGAAAGAAAATCCAAGATGTCATTATAAACTACTAATACTATCCGTTTTCCATTTTGCTATACTATTATGCCTTAAGACAAAAACACAGTAACTTGTATCCGTTTTACAGAAGCACAGTAACTGCGAAAGCACTTCTCCCTTTAAGCTTATTTTACTTACAGTCATTTTGTTCCTATTTTAACTGATTCAAACCAGCACACTAAATAAGACCCAACCATTTCAGTTTTCCATTCTTTAATCCAGTGATAAAACTCCTTTTTTTCGATCCTCACTCAAACAAACCGGCTTCTTTATTGTGTTTATTTTGACACTGATGTTTTTAGTTACTTAAGCTCATTTGGTTCTTTTCTTTTCTTTCGGCTTCATCCGCTTTGTACTAGAAATATTTATTTTGAAATTAAGGGGAAAAACCCACAATATTTTCTTCATAATCCACTAGGATATTAAATCTAGAAATTTCCATAGTTACCCTGAATTGCGCGAGTTGCTAAGCTGATAGATTTTGATAAATACATTAGTAAAAATGAGTTTTTAAGCCCTAAAATCGGCTTTGTAAGGCAAAATTGATATGAATTTCAGATAAATGTTGCTCTTTAGCCGATAATAAAATGCAGAAACAAGCTAATATAGAAACCCATAAGGTGGTTGAAAACTCTCTTATTCGTTCCTGATGTCTCACAATGGGACCGCACGCTGTGCATGATCCTTAACAATCCATAGACAATCTTGATCTTATTCTAAAAGTGACTATACAATAAGTGTGCTTTTAGCCTAAAAACTAGGCGACGATAGGAACTTTTATTTTTTATGACCCGGCTTTAATTTTATGGCTACCAATGGCAGAAAAAGGTCTTGACAGGAACGACTTACATTTCAGCTCAAACAACACTGATGGATCACTAAGCTAAACTTCATCTTAAGAATTTAAAAATGCGGAACTCGCTGATAGAAAAAAGGCAAACTTGGTTTGTATATATCGAGAAATGAAGTTAGCCGTGGCACGGATTTAAGATTTTGTCTTGAGTGTTGTGAGCATGCTGCACGAATCCGAATTAATATTTAGTTGTGGTCAGAAATGTCTAAAGTTGGAGAAGTCCTGGCGATCGACCGGACACTTCACTTACTTTGAACAGTACTGATACGCAAATGAAATTCAGTAAATTAAACTGACAGATATTCGAAATATTTCTGTTTACTTTGACAGGTTTACACAGACCTAAAGTAAACTGCTTGCATTGATTTTATGTAAGAGAAATTTTTTTATATATATCTTTTACGATAGGATCTAACTACCAAGATGGAAACTGGAAAACATTATGAGCAATCGGTACATTGAAGTTTTAAGTAAAGTGGGATCGAGCTAATCCACTTCTTTGTAAATCGTATAAAGAATTTCACTGAGTGTAATTCCTATAAAGCTAAGAAGCATAATGGGTCCAAAAATTAATAATACGTATAAATTCGCCAAGGATAGAAATAACAGGACAGTAGCACTTCGGTTGCTGTAAATCAAAATTTATGGATTCAGTTGTGTGACTACGTAAGCAAATTAACGAACACGAGAGGAAATGAATAAAATCGCTGATAAGGTATCGAGAGATACAGAAATCAGTAGGTAAAATCAAGAGATGAATTCGTGTATAAATGAACGTGTAACTAGAATTGATAAACATAAAGCCTGTCGGGCGTTTTTAAGGATTTTGAATCTGGGACTTATGAACTTAAAGTGCACATGAACCCTTCGACAATACTTTCAGTACTGATTCT